TTCTCTCTCTCTCTCTCTCTCTCTCTCTCACACACACACACACACACACACACACACTTTCACAAAGGGGGTCGTTTACATCCTACTCTCTATACTTGCTTTGGCATGAATTATCAACACTGAGTGTATATTACTCTTAAAATCAGAAACAACATGCATCCACATAGAAATTCATCTCAACAGATCATCTGTCATAAAAGAATGTTGCAAATTTGCAAACATGTGGTATTTTTTTCTCAAAATTAATACGGTAATTTTTCTTTTTCTATTCCTAATGGGAATAAATTCCTTACCAAACACTTTTTACAACAGTCACCATATGCACACTCAGAACCTGATCGAAGCTTACAGGTCTTTGCTTCACAGCAAGGGTCCAATTCACATTCCTATGATGAGAAAATGATGGTCAATAAAGAAAAAAGTTACTGACAATATATTAATTAATAACATTCTTATTTTAAGCTTAAAGTCTATTTCTTTCTTGCCTGGCTATAGCACATACTCTGGATTTATCCATGCCTCTTTTAGACACAACTATTTAGATTTCAACATTATTTCAGAATACATACACACACTTTTGTCAGGTCAGTTCCCACTCGTCGCGCCCTGAGAGGCAAGAGGAGAACTGCCTCATGGGAATTCCAAGGGTGTTTCTTTTCTGCTGAAGAACAGCTGATGGGCTCAAACCACTTCATTTTTGTGTAGCACCTGAATACTTTAACCATAACCACTGTGCTAACAAAGCTTTTCAAAGCAGAGTATGTTTATGTCTCAAAGTTAATAATCAATTTTTTAAATTTTTTTCCTACATTTGAAAATTAACAAATACACGTAGAAAATCCCTAGAAAGGGGCCCCATGCTAGGTAATGTGGAGATGCAGTGAAAACGAGGAAAACGCTCAAGAAGATGAATTGCCACAGTGCCTGAAACAATGGGCTCAAACATTACTCTTGTGAGAATGCTGTATAAAGGGTCCCTATGAGTCAGGAGCCAACTTGATGGCACCTAACAACTATAACAAGAATTGAGTAAAAAAAGAAGCATGATGACCAACAGAACATATTTCAAGTAAATGGTATACATTTTACACATGAAATTTGTTAAAGATGGACAATGTAATAATTATAAGGTAATTTACAGTCTAAATGCATATAGTAAAAAATAAGAAGCTAAGAATCCATCTCAAAATGCTAGAAAAATCAAAGGTAAATTAAACCAAACAAAATAAATCAAAAATAAAATTTAAAACATTAGAATTAAATCCATAAACAAAAATGAGAAACATGAGCAGATATAAGGCATGGAAAACATACGAGAGAAATAGAAAAGAAATAAAAACCAACAGAGTAAAAAGCTGACATTTTTTCAAAACTACTATTACTTAAACTGGCAAGTCACTGGTAAAACTAGTAAGCATTAAAAATATGAAAGGCAGATCTGGAAGAGAACTCAACCACATGGATCAACTTTCTGTCAAAAAATAGGCCAAGGAAGTGAATATGCAAGGCATTCAACTACATGGATGATAACAAACTATAGATCATCTTAAGAAGAATGGGATTCCAGAACACTTCATTGTACTTATGCAGAACCTGCATGGTTTAAAATCTTAAAAAGGTGTGTGTCAAGGTTGTATCCATGTCACCATATTATTCAATATATGCTGAGCAAATAGTCTGAAAACTGGACTACATGAATGAGAACATGATATCAGAATTGGAGGAAGACCTATTAACAACCTATGGTAGACAGATGATACAACCTTGCTTGCTGAAAGTGAGGAGGGCTTGAAGCAATTGGTGATGAAAAAAAATCAAGGATTGCAACCTTCAGTATGATCACAACTTAATGTAAAGAAAACAAAAATCCTCACAACTAGACCAACAGGTAGCATCATGATAGAAAGAGGGAAGGAGTGAAGTTGTGTGATAGTTAGGTTTATTGTGCCAACTAGGCCTCCACAGGAACATGAAGGCGGAGCTTAATCAGGTCACAGCTTAATTGGAGGGTGACTGAGATAACTGCTTTCTGAGGGTAGCAACCTGTCTCTCTCCCTGATGACTGGACCAGTGTGCTGCTGCTTGAGTTAGTTCTTTGCCTCTACCATGTGCTGTGGGCTGAGCCAACCCATGGATCTTGTCACTTTGCTGTGCTGCTGGTGGATACTGTGGCACATTGCTCGAGCTTGAGACCCCATTGAGGCCTGCTTCACCAAGTTTCCTTGTTGCTGCCCCACCTTCGGGCTGACTCTGTCTTGTCTTGCCTGAGGGCGAACTCCGCTGCCTGCTTCCTTGACCTTGGACCAGCAGCCCTCCTGATTTGAAGGATTGTCAGTATACTAACTGTTCCACAAAGTGAGTTGAACTGAGCCCTCTGCATTACTGTGTGAACTAATTAGTCATTATATTCCTTCTTGCTATATAAACCTATCTATCTAGATATATAAAATCATAAGTGTCCTGGTTTTGTTTCTCTAGATAACCCTGCCTAACACAAGTTGTAAAGGATTTCATTTTGATTGGATCCACAATCAATTCTCATGGAAGCAGCAGTCAAGGAATCAAACAAAGCACTGCCCTGGGTAAATCTTCTGCAAAAGATGTCTTTAAAGTATTAAAGAATAAAGGTATCACGTTGACGAGTAAGATATCTGACTCTAGTCATGGTATTTCAATCACCTCATGTGCATGTAAAAATTGCACAGTGGATAAGGAAGGCTGGATAAGAATGGATACACTTGAATTGTGGTGACTGTGAAGAATCTTGAACATACCATCGACTGCCAAAAGAACAAACAAATCTGTCTTGGGATAAGTAGTACCAGAATGCTTCTTAGAAGCCCTTCACATACTTTAGAAATGTTATCACAAAAGGCTAGTCCCTGAAAAAGGACATCATGCTTGGTAGAGTAGATGCAAAAAAAGAGGAAGACGTCAGCAAGATGGATTAATACAGTGGCTTCAATGATGGGCTTGACAACTGTGAGAATGGTGCATGACAGAATTGTACCATTCTGTTGTACACAGGGCTGCTATGACTAAAAACCTACTTAACTACACCTGATAACAACAATAACAATGAAGTGATTAATAACATCAGAGAGTAATGCATTCCTCAGTTCAATCACAAGATGGCACTCCAAGGAATCCTTTTGGCCATTACTCACAGGTGAATTCTATCAGTATCTCCCACTGCCCTTCCCACCTCCCACCACAGCTTTTAGCAGACCCATTGTAAATGTGTTTTTAGTTTTTTAGAACTTTGTATATGGGTTTTTTTTGTTTGGTTTGGTTGGGTTTTTTGTTTTCGTTTTTTTTGCTTTTAAGTAAATTCTGTGATCCTATAGTTTGTTTTTTCACTCTTGCAAAACAGCTTTTAATGAACGATGGTAAAACAGCTGAGTAGTATTTTTTTATTATTTTTAAAAATCATTTTATTAGGTGCTCATACAACTCATCACAATCCATACATACATCAATTGTGTAAAGCACATTTGTCCCATAGTTTTCTTTATGTGAAGATTTTTGACTACTGATACAATTTTTTCACCCTAATTTTTCAGGTTTCTATTGAGGCAATGTATTAGCACATATACTCGTGTATAAGCCAAGTTTTTCAGCACATTCCTTTTCTTTTATAAATCATTTCATTAGGAGTTCATACAACTCTTACCACAATCAATATATACATCCATTGTGTCAAGCACATCTGTACATTTGTTGCCATCATCATTCTCAAAACATTTGTTTTCTACTTGAGCCCTTGATATCAGTTCATTT